CTGGGCTAGGAGAAATGGGCCAGGCAGAGTTCATTTTTCATGAGGAAAGACATATTGCAGAAAAAGACCTTATAACATAGATAGGGCACCTGGAAGGCATCCTATTCCAGGGAGAAGGACAAACATAGCAAGTCACCTGGGATGATAACACAGCACTGATAAAATGGGCCCTGTAATTAGGGCAGATATTAAGACAACATGCCCAAACCCAGCAATGAAAACAAGCTGGCAGGTCCACACAAGCTGGGTTATTAGATGTCTTCATGCGAATGGAGTCTGAGGTATCCCAGGCACCATGGCCAGGGGTGCTCAGAGCAGAAGCCGAAGTGAATGCTTGTGGGGGACTTACAGGCTCCCCAGTCCATGAAAATGTTTAATTGGGGAATGCAGCCCATTGAGACCCTCTTTCCCAGAGTCAGCACCATGACTGAGTGCTAACAACTCTTTCCCCCATCGTGCAACTCATGGTAATTGGACACATTTTATTTACTTCTTTATTTATTTTTGGATAATATCATGCACTTTCTTGACAACTTTTTTTGCTGAACAATATCTTGGACATGTGAACATAATAGTACATGTAATATAACAAGGTGTGTACCGGAAAAGTAGTTAGAATTTTGTGTCTAAATTCATATGAGATTAGCCAAGTTTTCTTTTCTTGCCCTACACTTTTTTTAACAGCATGTTGTTTATGGAATTTAAAAACACAGGCATCAAAACCCATTTTACAAGGTTGCAAATATACTAGCGTGCTGGCCCGTGACAAGGTCTGGGAAGGCGACACGGTGCTGGCAGCAGGGTTGAAGGGCAAAGGGAAAAAAAATGAAAGTGAGAACAGATGACAAATTGAGGGGCCTTGCACGCACCGGAGGGAACATGCTGTGCACTGAATAATAGTTATTTGTTACTGGGTTTTCTAGTCTGATAAAACAATTGGCTGGCTTCTTTCAATCTCTCTTTTTTTCTTCCCTATATTTTGGAACAACTTATATGACATGACAATGATCTGTTCCTTGAAAGTTTCTAAAACTCATCCTTAACGTTGTCTGGACCTGGTGCCCTTTTTATAGGTAGTTGTTTTATTACTCTTTCCACTGGACACATTTTACACAGGACAAGAATGTTTCCCATAGATCCTGTTGTGGACCTTTCTTATTGGGCAGGAGTATTTATTTAAGCCATATACCCAGAGGAAAGGAATTTGGCTGTGTACTCAAGACTTTCTATTTTTTTACTCAGACATTTTGAATCCTGGAATAACAAAGACATGGCCTCAAGTTCATACTCTGTCGAGAAATAATACATAAGGAATGGTAGGCGAAATAATGAAACCCCCAAAGGTATTCACGCCTTAATCCCTGGAACCTGTGAATATGTTAGGTTACACGGCACACGGGAATTAAGGTTGCAGATGAAATTAAGTTTGCTAATATGCTGACTTTGAGATGGGGAGACTACCCTCGGTTATTCAGGTGGGCCCAATGTCATCACATGGGTCCTTATAAGTAGAAGAGCTTAGGAAGAGAGATGAGAAGAGAATCCGAGAGATGGCAGCACGAGAAGGGCTCAGCCCAACATTGCTGGCTTTTGAAAATGGAGGAAGGAGGCCACGAGCCAAGGGTGCAGGCAGCCTCTAGAAGCTAGAGAAGGCAAGGAAACAGAATCTCCCCTAGAGCCGCCAGACGAGAAAGCAGCCCTGCCAACACCTTGCTCTCAGCCCAGTGAGAACCATGTCAGACTTCTGACCTACAGAAGTGTAAGATAACGAATTTGCATTGCTGTAAGCCATTAAGTTTGTAGTCATTTATTACAGCAGCATTAGGAAAGTAATTCATATACCATATGCAAAGAGAGATTTTGTTGAGAGGGAAAAAAATAATTATAATGTGCTTATATCTGATTCAAATTGTAACCTTATATCCAGAGTACTACTTCCTATAATTCAGGAAGCACAGATAAAACTAGTGTCATTGAAGCTAATGATACTTATGATAATACTGATGATGGTAATCACATTTACTGGGAAATTGAATTAAAGCCCCTGAAGGACATTATCTCTATGGAGGAGAATTGGTCTGAAGATTTAGATGTAATTAATGATTGACTACAGTTCTTAACCATTCAACAGATGTATAGCATAAAGTGCATATAGCTAAAGATCAGGGAGGTAAAAGATTTGTAAAGTTAACTACAAAAATGTGAGATAGTTTGTGCTAGAATCCCTGAATGCTTCACCTATTTGTTTAAATCTAAAAAGAACCCCTCACCGGCTATTGAAAATGTTTGGAATCTGTATGTACTGTTTGATGTCTATCTGATTAGGCAATGTTACAAGGCAAATAAGTACTGTCAAACTAAGAGTGTTTGTTTTATCATAAAAAGGCCTTTGACTGCAGATTGGGGGTGGACCGTGCTGTTAGGGTTAATTCCACCAGGCCTGGAATTAGCCTGAACAGTCTTACGAAATAAGAAATGCAGCTCCGTGATGATATGCATGATTTGCCCCTGGTATTGGTGAGGCCCGCAGAGGAGTATGGCACGGGGGCTGGTTACATAGCAAGAATGTCTGCATGACCCGCTTAGGCAATGCTGGGGCTCCATGAGAATCTGGGAACTCATTCCCTTAAACTATTCTTGTTTTCTCATCCCTTAGAAAGTCCTCATTAGGACCACAGTCATGTCTCCTTTTGCAATGGGAAGGAAGCTTCTCTTGGGTGTAGGACAGCAGAGGGGGGAGGTGGTGGACATGACAGTAGGGTGAAGGAGGTGGTGCTTGTCTATTTTCTCCATGTATCAGTGTCTCTAAACATGCATGGAGATCATCTGCTAAATTTGAAAGGAAAAGTGTTGGTGATTTTAGGAGAAAGGAGAAGGCATAAAACAGTTTTGAAGGAGGGTAAGCAGTAAAAGACAGAGAGCAGAATTGGCCTCTTGGATTTTTTTTTCCCACCAATCAATTTTCTTTTGCCTCTTTTCTCTTTGGCTGCTGGAAGCCGTACTGTCTTGTGCTTTTCTTTTTGGCCCTTTTCCCGACAATCGGTCAACAGGTCCCTTGTGGCCTGCTGGTGAATCTCTATTAACTGGGTTACGTGCACAAAGCTTAAGATCACAGTTGAAGTTGCCCTTCATCGTAAGATGGACATTGAAGGATCTTGTTTTTATTATTTATAAGAAGAGGGGTTTCTCATGATCCCTTCCACCCCTGTCTTTCATGGTAATCTTTAAAGGCAAGTCCTGGGGCTTAAATTCCCAGTTCTAGGGTTTCTCAGTGGTCATTACTAGCATTGTCCTTGACAAGGGAAGCCTGGAGACAGCCACAGCTGAGCTGTTGCATTAAAAATAATTAGGAGAGGACTTGCCTGGTGGTGCAGTGGTTGAGAGTCCGCCTGCCGATGCAGGGGACACGGGTTCGTGCCCCAGTCCGGGATAGATCACACATGCCGCGCCGCGGCTGGTCCCATGAGCCATGGCCGCTGAGCCTGCGCGTCCGGAGCCTGTGCTCCGCAACGGGAGAGGCCACAACAGTGAGAGGCCCGTGTACCGCAAAAAAAAAAAAAAAAAAAATTAGGAGAGGCTGCCCGCTGCCCGTTCTTCCCTCCTTCTGACCAAACAGATTTATTGGGCAGGAGGGGTCGGTGTAGCTCTGAAGGGGAGCTCCATCCTAGTCTTGAAGGGGATTGACCAGCTCCTCACACAGAGCCATGACCTGGACTCAAATGTGAGTGGGTAGATGCCATGTCAGGTTCTAGGGCCAGCTTTTCCACTGTCAACGTGCCCTATCACTTAGCCTCTGTGAGCCCTCAGTTTATTCATATGAAAAATAGCAGTGCTGTGGTGATTCTCAGCAGAGAGAAGGGGCTGCCTGCCAGAACAGCTTGGAATGGTATTCTTGTCTCTTGGGAAAAAAACTTCAAAGTCATTCTGACATACCCACCATCCAGTACTAAATGGCCATGAAGGGTTCCTAACAGATCTAACATGTAGTCTGGAGAACCAACTCTGCAATAGTAACCTGTGTTAAAGCTTGAAAATGTGACTATCTAAAGGCTTGATACGGAGTGAACCTACGTGTTTGAAGGACTGAATCTAGTGACTTTGGATGTGGACCCCAAATTGCCCCATCCAGCTGAATGTGCATGCCAGACTTGACCAGCAGAGGCCAGCACATACCTACACACCTGGCTTTCCAGGCAAATCTAACACAAAACTGGCCCTCAGGTATCCTTTCTGGGGAGAGACAAACTAGCTTTAACGAAGCCTACTTGGGTGTATCACTTAAAAGCCATTTAGAACACAATCGGGAACTCAGGCCCAGGTCCAGAGCTAGACCAAGGCCATTTTCGGAACCGGGAAAATCTTGTCTTTGAATCCTCACCACCTCCCGTTTTTGTCTCTCTTTTGCTTCTCAAAGTATGGTTGGGGGCCTGGCAGCATCAGCCTGAACTAGGAGTTTGTCAGAAATGCAGAATTTCAGGCCCCACCCCAGATCCACTGAGTTAGGATCTGCATTTTCACAAGATTCCCAGGTGATTTGCGTTCACATGGAAGTTTGAAAAGCACTAGGATAAACACCCCTTCTCTGCATACACCCCCCCACCCAGAAAGCCACCCAGACCCCAGCCTCCCTCCGCACCCTCACCCACGCACCCTACAGCACCACACAGGCTTTCCTGCTGCTTTCAGGCTGGAAGAGGGCCGGTGGTGTGGCCTGGGGTGAACAGCTGTGAGATTCCCTCTTCAGGACCTCAGAGTGTTTCCACCCATCCAGCTACGTTTGTCTTTAGGTAACTGCGGAGCAGGGGAACACTGGGGCCAGATCCCCAAAGATGTTGAAAGCCTGTCCACAGCCCACAGTCCAGAGCTGGTTTGCATAAATACAGAAATCAATGGCTTATGAGTCCAAAATGATTGCTTTGTTTATTACCACTTGGAACTTTATTCCTTAAAATAGTGGAAAGTAACAAGCCAGCCCCTTTTTCTTCCTTATGTCACCACAGGGAGCACATCCCACACCTTGTGCTTTTTCCCGCCCAGTTGCTCAGTGCATCTTTGAGGAAGGAGCTCTGTCTGGAGAGTTCCTCTCCCTGTCCAAAGAAGTTGTCTTTAGCTTGCTGTGGAGGAGAAAGCAAACGGAAGCAAATTCCTTTTGTGGGGTGAGTACTTGTCAGGAGCTTCTTCAGGGGAGATTTGTCTTTCTGCAGAATAAGGGGTTTTAAGTTGTAGCCTCATAGTTACTTTGGTGAGAGAGTGTTTCCCCAGGACTGTCAAATGGGTCCTTGGAGATGGATGCCCGGCCCCGGGACTGTGGGAGAGACCCTTTGGGAAGAATGGCTGTCACTGTGGGAGCTGCTGCTGATACTGTGTGAATGCAGGGCGCTGGCCTGGGAAGAGCTCGGCCTCTCCAAAGGCAGTGTGGGATGAAGGATGCTCCCACAGGTGCGAGACGCTCTGTGCTCAGACAACAGAGGCAGGAGCCTGCTGACACCTCCCCAGGCATCTTCCCCCTCATTCCTCTCAGCCCTGCCTTTAGTCTTTGCCTTCCTTCCCTCTCCCTTTTGCGGGGAGACGGGGTGGGGTGGGGGGATGGGGCAGGGGGTTAGAAAAAGAATACAAGACAGGAAGAAAGTCACCGTATGAATTCCCGAATTCCCTTCCTTCAGGAAGTACACGCAGGAGAAGGGGAGAAACTGATAACAGGCCTGCTCCAGGCCCAGGCTTGGAGGTATCTGTGAAATAGGAGCACTTGCTTTCTTCCTCCCTCCCTCCCTTCCTCCCTTCCCTCCTCCTTTCCCTCCCTTCTGTGTCCCTGTTCCCTCACGCTGGGCACTTTCTTCCCTGTTTCCTCTACACTAAAAAGCAATTATAACATGAACTCATCTTGTCAACAGGGCATGCCTTCGTGTGTCGTTTTCCCCAATCCCTCCTCCCTACAACTCACCTGAATGCTCCAGGTCTCTCAAGCCCAGACCCCATGGGTGCTCTGCTCTCTTCTTCATAATCACACCCACTGGAAATGTATTCACCTTGAGCCATAAATGATCCATGGATCCTTGAGCTACGTCTTTCCGGCTATTTGCATTTAAAAGCCTGGAGCTGATGGGACTTCGCTGGTGGTCCAGTGATCGGGACTCTGGGCTTCCACTGCAGGGGGTGTTGGGGAGGAGAGGAGGTTTGATCCCTGGTCGGGGAATTAAGATCCCACCTGCCAAGCAGCACAGCCAAAAATTAAAAAAAAAAAAGCCTGGAGCTGAGTTGAAATCTTGAGAGTGAGTTGGTAGAGAAGGTCTGAGGGGTGAGGCAGGTCTGTTATTCCATCTGCAGAGAAGGCTGGATTCCAAGGTGGAGTATATGGGGAGAAGGCGCTGAGTATGTCACTCATCTCAAGGGTATTTGCCTCTTCCTATGGCCCCTGCTTTTGAATTTTCCCACCTGGAAAAGGGCTGGACCTAGGGTGGGCATTCAACCAATATTTTAAATGAAAAATAAAATGGAATATATAGTGGCAACAAAACTATAGTCACGGTGGTGATGGTGAGTTCTTGGGTAAATAATGTCTATTGAAAAAACTGACGTCGTGAACACTGAATTATTGATATGACATCAGAGATGGATGATGTGCATTGCCATCAACATAGCAACCCTGGCCATTGAAACTCTGAGTCTAACAAGATTTGTCAGGGTAAACACATTACTTGTAAACAATCAGAGAAAAGTTGAGAAAGCTAGTTTTAGTGTTTGTGATATTCAGTACTGTGTTCCATGACATGTGGAAGGCCCTGCACCCCCATGACAAACCCATGGCCTTTGCTTCTGTGACTCACACTGATGCCTTTGCATGGCCTTGCACAGCCCCTAACATGACTGCAGCTCTTCAGTGCAGGCCCAGGGCCTCGTGTTCTTTGCTCCCCCTGCAGAGGGCCTGGGACAGGGCCTCACATAGAGTAAGTGCAGTCCTTGGGGAATGAATGGGCCCAGAGTCTTCTGCTTCCTGGGTGAGGATAGATAACGGCCTGTGGGGACTTCCCTGGTGGCACAGTGGTTGAGAATCTGCCTGCCAATGCAGGGGACATGGGTTCCAGCCCTGGTCCAGGAAGATACCACATGCTGCAGAGCAACTAAGCCGCTGTGCCACAACTACAGAGCCTGTGCTCTAGAGCCCGTGTGCCACAACTACTGAGCCAGTGTGCCACAACTACTGAGCCCGCAAGCCACAACTACTGAAGCCCATGCCCCACAAATACTGAGCCCGCGTGCCTAGAGCCCACGCACTGCAATAAAAAGTAAACCCCGCTTTCAGCAACTAGAGAAAATCTGCATGCAGCAGGGAAGACCCAATTCAGCCAAAAATTAGATAAATGAATAAAATAAAATTTTTTAAAAATGTAAAAAGAAAAAGAAAACGGCCTGTGTACGGTGAAAAATGCCTACGAGGAGGGGAGGAGGAGGCATCACTGGGCGGCCCCAGGGTGATGAAGCCACCTGTCGGCTTTGAGGTCAGAGACTGCCTGGGGCGCGGTGGTGACGGTCCTATACCATTGGTGAGATCCCCAGTGACACCTGTCTTCACCTTCCCTACCTGGCAAAGGTCTCTCGTCCGCTAGGTGTAGACACCATGTCTCCTCCCCTGTGAGGCCCTTCCTGACCCCTCCAGGCAGCAGCCAGGAGTCAATCACTAAATCCTTTGTGCTTTCTCAGCATTTTGCTCAGACCACCTGAACCTTGCTAAGTGTATGAGCTTTAGCCTCTTCCACTAGCCTGAAGCTTCCTAAGATCAGGAGCCACGCACATTTACATACTCTCAACTCAGCGCTCACTCCAGTGAAGACAGTCACCGTTATCTGATGGGTAAATGAATGAGTTAAGAACTGAATAGATACAGTATCCATGGTGGGCACAGTGGGAAAGCGACCGGGGACACCTTTCCAGATGATCTTTAAAGGCTTTACAGAAGGAAACCGGGGAGATGCTGGCAAGGCACATAACGGATCATTCTTCAACCGCAGAAGCGCTTGAGGTAGGTACAACCTGTGCTTTTTAGTAAAATCTGTGCACCTTTATGGACCCAGGCTGGGTCTGAATTTCTGTTCTACATCTCCATGGCTCTCCTACTCACTCTGACTTTTATCACATTCATCTCCTGGGTCAGACCTAGTACACCACGTTCAAGGTCATGTTCATAGGCAGGCACAGCACATCATGTATAAGAGCAGCTCTGCTTCCCTTGCCAGCGCCTACCTCCAAGTAGATGCACCCAGACCAGCTATCAGTTTTTCAGAGAGAGACAGAGTGACCTGTGGCTAGGAGCTGACTTAGGACCAGACCTTTCCTGGATGACTCTGCCTTGTTACCAGTGTTACCCAGTGTTGGCTGGGTGTGAGAGCCCTCTTGGGAGGGGCATTTACCTGCAGCCAGGCAAGAGGCTGAAGCTCTCATTGCCAGAATGCAAGATGCTGAGCAGGCCTTTCTGATAGGAACTTCAGGACACCCCTAGAAGTGCCTGATGGCCAGCTCCCAGGGAAAGACAAGTTGGCCTAGGGAGACACTGTCCCCAAAGAGATTGATGTGTTTTATTTATGGGGGATTGTTTGAGGTGTAGAATAAAGGTTCAAAGCTTGAGCCAAAGCCGGCTCTGAGTGATAAGGGCACAGGGAAGAGGAAGTGTCCTCCCCAGCAGCCCTCTGCAGCCCACCGAGTCTGCTCCTCGGGTCAGGGTAGGCCCAATCTGAGAGGCCTGAGCATAGTTTCTTATTATCCAAAAACTGATATAGGTTAACAGAAAAGAGTCGAGAAATGAAAACAGTCCTTTGTCTACTGTAGGATAAAGAAGCAGCTCATCCCTGCTCCCTCAGAAGAGTAAGCAAATAATCAGTGCAGGGTGTTTCTGTAATTCTAGCATCTCTCTTCAGCATATAATCACATAAATTATATGAGCAAAACTAGATTAGGGCTTGGGGTAGAAATCGCTTTATTCTTATAGTAACACCGTGAAAATTGTTATCGGTGCAACTAAGCTGGGTCTTGGGAATTATTATAGATATTATTAGAGATCATTAAATGCAGTGGGATCCTGAGAAAGCATGGTCTGCACCTGTGGGGACCCAGGTAAATGCTGAGGGGGCCTCAAGAGCCTCTGCGTGGGGTTATGATCCATTTGCTGGATAAAGCCATAAGGGGACATTTTGGAACCAATAATCAGGTGTAAAAAGAGAAGGAAAGACCAGGCCTCACTTTTGAGGGGCAGTGTATGGGGTGGGCAGGGAACTTTCCTGGGGTAGAATCAAGTTGAGGTGTCAAGGCTTAGGGACGCTGACTTGATTATGTATTAAAAGAATGACTGGGGTGGGAGAAATGTACTCTCGAGTTGTCCTCCATCTGGACCAACAAAACTAACTCCAAGTTTTAGAAGAGATGTGCTTGTCTGACACTGAAGGATGAGCTAAAGAAAAATCATTTTAAGAAACTAAAAGGGGGACTTCCCTGGCAGTCCAGCAGTTAAGGCTCTGCGCTCCCAATGTAGGGGGCACAGGTTCAATCCCTGGTTGGGGAACTAAGATCCCACATGCCAATCCGGCATGCCACGCAGCATGGCCAAAAAAAAAGACACTAAAAGGGAAAGCACAATAAGGATTTTAGCGATGGCAGGAAGAGGACCCTCGGTGAGCATGGCCATAGAGTGACCTGGTCAACACAATGATGACGACTTTGGAAGGAAGGACACTGGAAGGGAAAGTAGGCCCACAACTGCTGAAGTCCCAAGCAGTGGAGCCACAGCAACACTGTGTGGAAAAGAACACCCCACACAGAAGGTGAGCACATGTCCAGCATCAGAAAATCAGCAGAGCCAGGGACTGACCTAGAGGTCCCAGCAAAACAGAGAACACCAAGAATCCTGGGGACGTTGGGAGAGACGCCAGGTACTTGTCATTAGATGGGATCTGAATCTGAGAAAGCTTTTGTTTAATCTTAAAGGACAAGTTGTCCCCACCAAGCAGGAAGGCTTGAGGACATAGAAGTATTAGCCACGATGACTATTATAGATACTATGGTTGTAAGGCATAACTGCCACAGGATTTCAGAGGTGTAAATTTAGCTGCTCACTTCTCTCTAGGCTTAGTTTGATCACCTGTAGATCAATGAGTTTGACCGGACAATATCTGTTTCCTTGCAACTCTAATAGATTATGATGCTTAGAGTTTGGAAAGGAAGGAAACTCGGTAAAATTGGATCCAATGAAAAAAACATGACAAGAGGCAGCAAAGGAGAGGTGAGCTTAAACTTCTTAAATAAATATGATAAGGTCACTTGTCAGGAATAATTCTTACTAAAGTGTCCAAACTATCTCTGTTTGCCTGGGACCATGGAGAGTTCCTGATCACAGGACTTTCAGGTTTTTTTGTTTTTTAAAATTTTATTTATTTATTTTTGGCTGCATTGGATTTTTGTTGCTGCGCGCAGGCTTTTTCTAGTTGCGGTGAGCTGGGGCTACTCTTCGTTGCGGTGCATGGGCTTCTCATTGTGGTGGCTTCTCTTGTTGCGGAGCATAGGCTCTAGGCA